TGTCCCCCTCAATGTATATGGTGACTACGGCCCTGTCAGCATGCATAATTAGGCTGCAGTTGTCTGGGTGCGCAAAGGTGAAGTGGCTGGTCTTGTCATACAAAGTTTGATGGAGTGTCAACTGGACAATATGGAGATATTTGCATCTTGAAAGCCGGACTACAAATGTGGATAGACAGGGAGAAACACACACAAGCCTAAGACGTGGTAAGATACGATATTCCTCACTATATGAAGTGACTGATAACAAGATCTGTATAATGGATTGTAAAGAAATTCGTCAGGTTTTTATTTTGTAGACAATCAATCTGTATTTATAGCGTGATGGGATGACAGCACAATGATGTGTGTGGTCCTGAGCTTTCATGTGATATGCGTGGCATTTCTGTGCGAGCCTGCATTTGCGAGTAATCCATCCAACAGTAATGTGTGTGCAGAGCTGTATGAAAGCAGTTATAAATCATTTTAGTGTAAATGTATCAATTTTTTTCACAGTGAAAACATTGGACTACCAGCAAGTGCTTGACCTTGTCGGAAAGCTACAATTCTGCTGTGTCTGCTGATATGTGTGGCTTCTCACTATGACGCACGGTCGCAGAGAAAATCAATAGAGAAGAACGGGTATGAATTTGGACGCACTATGCGTTGTTCAGGCCCATAGTCTAAACTTCTCAGTTTCAACATTTTATTGAGAACATTTAGGAACAGTGCTGCACGTTAACTTTTGTCTGCACATTGTTTTTGTCACCATTGTTGCTGAGTCTGAGGTGCGAGTCATGCGCTCTTGCTCTGCCTCCACCTCAGGTACCGGAATTTGGCACCAATTCATTTTAAGTGAATCGGTACTCTGTAGTACTCACGTGAATCGGTACCAAGTACAAAAAGTACCGGGTTTCGGTACCCAACCCTACCCACAGCATTGACAGCCTCACACACACTCTCCAACTCACTCCTCTTGTATTTTATATTGATGCCGGAGCACAGCGTGCCAAAAAGTATATTTTTGCGCGCCTCCACTTCAGTGAGTAGCGTCTCCACTTCACCGAGTAGCGTCTCCAATTCGCATTCTGTTAAGTTTTTCTTTTTCCCGTCTTACTCATTCTTTTGTTTTAGTTTTCTGCTCGTACAGACAGGGGAATCTCAGGTACAGAGCCCATTTAAATATGATTTGCATATTTAAATGGAGGAGTGGTTAGGGAGGGGTCGGGTTCTCCAACATGTGCATTCAATTCCACGTTGATTGGGATGTACAAAGGAAATGTACTTGGATTCATGCCTATGCACAGATTTAAGCGTACGCCATGTTTCAGTCGGAAATCCACGCAAGTCTTTGTACATGAGGCCCCAGGACTGCAGAGGTAGACCAAGGCTACAGAACAGTACTACAGAGGTAGACCAAGGCTACAGACCAGGCTCTATTAAAAATGTGTTTTATTTTGAAACTGCTAAACATCTGACCATCTGCAGTTCAAATTAAAACCAGCTCAGAATTTTTATAACTCAAACATGGAACTGTAAAAGTCTCAGAAAATCATTTCTGTTTCATGTTTGAGTCCTGAACACCAAATCTTCTGAAAACAAGTGGAAAATCTGTCTGTCTATTGGTCAACCATCATTTTCTGTTGTTGCAAAACAGCAATGTGTCTGACCACGCCTTATTTTTAGACCTGCACACCAACGGCTGCACAGACGGGTACAAACACTCACACCATGTGTGCGCTGGTCATGAAAATGACAACTGTGTTGGTCTGAGACTAGTTATGACCGTTGTGCTGCATTGCTTCTGGTCAGGAGTCAAGTAGGTTTAGGATTAACTATGAGTGGAGCGATGTTTCCTGTAGTTGAGCTGTAGGGTTCAGGGGGTTTTCTGTGACTGATGGACTGATCTGAGTCCTGTTGGATCTGAAACAATCTGACGGTGTGAAAACAAACTGCAGCTGCAGGTTTTTAGAATCAGAATAACACGAGTGTGAAACTTTTAATCTGAAGGTCTGGGCCTTTGTGTTCAGCTGGGTGGAGCTTCCTGTTTGTCCGCAGATCAAATTCCTCACATTCACTTTGTTTCAGTTCCTCCAAACCTCATTTATCTTCATTTTAACCCTTCACAGTCTTTACTGAACAGAGGAAACTGTTTAGTATTCTACATGATCAGTTCTGATCTGTAGTTTCTGTCAGCGTAATGATTTTATGCTGCTACTTGCAAGAATTAACAAAAATCTACGACGGCATTGATAAGCTTGCGTTGAGAACACAACGGTTCTGAACATGAAAGACAAAAGTTACTGTCCTATAAAAATGTTTCTCGATCATTCAGGTGAGACGAAATCTACAAGAGAATAAAATCTGAGACACGTGTCTTCAACAGATCAGAAAATATTAAAACAAATTTGAAAAGGTCGATTTCTCAAAATAAATATCCACTCCACTTGTGGAGAAAATGGGAAGAAGATCTTCATTTGACGTAATCGATGACACTCAGTCACAGTTTACTCTAAAACCTCCATGTTGTCACTGTGTGCTGATGTCTGATAACGTCCAGATGATGGAGACAATAAAGTTTAAAGTTCACAAACTCAGAGTTTGTTCCAGATGTAAATCAGAATTGAGATATTTCAAGAGGATGTTTGGGATTAACTGATTCTCCTTTAAAATAAAAAGTAACCACAAACATCGGCGAGAACAATAAACAAACAGTAAATAATAAATAAGAGACTAACACTAAGAAAAATAAACTGCAGCTGATTTATAGTCTTTTTACTGTTTTCTGTATGAAAACAAAAATGTTTCCAAAAAAAATTACAATCAAAGTTATTAAGTTTTGTTTTAAAAGAAAATCTGATCCAGCTGCTGAAGGGTTTTATAACTGTTTTATCTGTTAACATCACTCAGAACTAGGGCTGGGCGGTATGACCTAAAATTTATATCACGGTATAAATCGAATCCCTTCACGGTAACGGTATATATCGCGGTATAAATTTACGTGTAAAAGTTATAATAGAAGTGTTTCTGAATGGGTTTTGTAGTACCTTAGCAAAGCTAAATTGATAAAAAAAAACAACAACAACAAAAGCAAAGATATAATGTATTTTTTAGAGCATTTATTGTGCAGAATGCAGATCTCAAAACTCAAAATTAAAACCCAGCACTCTATGGTGCAAAATGTCCCCTGGGATCTATATCAAAAGGTAATTTCCTTCTTTTAGCAAAATCCTAAATGACTGAGTTGTGTTTTTTCCACCTGGACCTTTATGCTCTGCCATTTCTCCTCTAATCATCACGCTGTAACCTGTGACAGGCTGTTATGATACCACAACTATCACACATTCACATATGGAGTTTTTTGTGGAGCCCCTAGCGTCACATAGGTTTACATTACCAAAGGTTTATAACAAACTCTCTTGCCGAAAACCAACTCCCGTGTGCACACGGCGAGAGAGGAGGGGGAGAGACGCTGTGCTGCTGCCAGAGGAGACAATGAATGAGTTCCCTCTGAGCGGTAAGTCACTAAAAGAGTCTGAGAAGTCCGGGGCTGTTCATAAAACATTAACTCACTCACTCACAAGTTCTCCAGCAACACATGTTGCACGTGCTACGCTAAATCACGGACGTGAACCAGCTCCTCTTGCTCCGCTGTCTCTGTGCTCGCAGCCATTTTCACACTGAGGCAGGTGCGATGACGTCATCGACGATAGGACGGTAGAGCGCAAATCTCTACCGTGGGCCAAATTTATATCATTTCTACCGTCTACCGCATATACCGTGCAGCCCTACTCAGAACATTTACATGTTAATGAATAACCCATTAACATTTAGTGGAGTATCCCATTTAAAGACCATGTCCCGTTTACAGAGACAGGGGTATTCCGTTAATCAAAGACGAAAATCAAAAGACGCGTCCTCACCCCAAAGATTCCCTGTTTACGAGCCAGCGAGTTCCCATTCCAGGTCCAGAAGAAGATGTGGGACTTCCCACAGGTGACGATGGTGTTGGGGTCGGTAGGGTGGAACTCGACAGCCAGTACGACCTCATTAGTGGTCTGAAACACACCAGTTACAAACCTTTAGACACTGATGATATCAGGTGTTGTTTTGTACGCAGGTGTAGGACAGTGACTGCCAACCTTGATCTCAGCGATCTTTGACTTCTTCTGCCAATCCCAAACTGTCAACATGTGGTCATTACAGTCGTCAATGACACTTAGGTGCTGACCAGAGTCCTTACAGAGAGACAGACAGAGGGACATGATGTGAGACAGACATTTTAAGACCTTCAGCAGAGTCTGAGCAGTGTGGTCTATATGGATTACAGTTCCCATGATGCACCTGGGTGATACTCACAGCTTTGGAGAAAGCCAGGGAGCCCACACCTCGCTCAAATGTTCCCAAACCGACGACCTGCAGAGTGGACAGACTGACGCTGTCCCAGATACGAACATGAGGCTGTATCGCCTGAACACAGCGACAGAGAGAACGGCGATGTGAATACTTCACTTTTTGTTTATTGCTTACAAAACAGTTTTAATTTTTCAAAAGTCAGGTGTGATTCAGTTTGAGTCTCCTGTTCATCCTCACCCGTCCATCTTTGTCCACTCCTGCAATCTGTCCTGTAGCGATCCGGATCTTATCAGGATGGATGGCCAGACTGATGGACAGAGACAGAGAGATGATGTCAAAGAGCACAGAGCAGCCAATAAGAGCACAGCAGATGATTCATACGCCAGCGTGTTCTCACCACTTGACACAGTCGGTGTGTCCGAGGTAATGTCGCTGAGTTCGTTCCTCATAGTTAAACAAGGCAACAACGGAGGCGATGAAGTAAACGATCTCTCCGGTTGGAAGAAGGTAAACATTGGCTCTGCAGTCTCTGCCACGGTAACCGTACCTGCAGGAAGTCAAGGAAGCACCTGGAGAACAGCAAGAGATCTACCTACATTCTACTCTACATCTACTGATGGTCAACTCTACATCTACTCTACATCTATTGACATTCTACTGTACTCTACTGTACTGAGAATCTACCAGTGATCTACTGAGGCTCTCCTGGTTCTCAGTTCTGGCTCCTTCAGTCTTGATGTTTCTCGTCATCGTCAGTAACACAGAGTTTTATTTCTGTATGCGGACGACGATTGGCTCTCTGTACATGTTGATCATCTCAGTTTCCGAATCAACGTCTGATGTTACAGAACGTCATCCTGCAGCTGTCGTCCTGAGACACAGACAGGTTTTATGTTTCTGGATGTTTGTATCTGAACACATGAAAATTATTTTATTCTGGCTCTGAGAAGAAAAACTTTAAATTCCACAAGTGAACATTTTTCGACGACTGAACTACGTTATTTCATTTGATTATCATCGATCAATGTTATTATTGCGTTTAGATGTATTTAATGTTTCCAGGGTGAAGGATACACCCATTCCAGCTTCAGTCTTTCTGAAGGAAGTTCTGTCCGAACATCATCGTAGTTCTCCACGTCTGAAGGGATGAACATGGTAATCGGTCGCCCACGCATGAACATCTTAATGTGGTTCCCCTCTGAAACACAAAAAAAAACAAAACAAGATTCAGTGTGGAATACATGTTTCACCAAAGTAAAATATCACCACTTTCTGATATCGTTTGAGACATATTGGTAAAAACCAAGATGGCCGATGTGAAATTTACTGTTAAAGTACTACTTTCAAAGAATGACTCGTTCACATGTTGTTGATGTGACATCATCACAGCTCATCTCTGCACGCTGTAGTCCACTGACATATACCGCTCAGCGCTTAATCACATTTTATCGCTGTGATTGGCTGGAAGTCTGTCTGCCCAGAGGCGTTTCTGTCTGCAGCCGCTGATCCCGCCTCAGGACCGTTGAACCTTTGTGATCATGTTGTGTCTCTCTGTTGATGTTTCATAAACATTATCTGCACCATTAATAATACTGAACTAGACTCAGTGAGCAGAGAACCAAAACTGACTGGTATCAGTCTGTTGGACAGGGGCTCTGGACCCGGGACCTCAAGAGGGGACACTTCTTCAGGAGGGGACACTTCTTCAGGAGAGGACAGTTCTTCAGGAGAGGACACTTCGTCAGGAGAGGACAGTTCTTCAGGAGAGGACACTTCTTAAGGAGAGGACACTTCCTCAGCAATCCATTTGTTTTAGTTTGGTTTTATGTGTTGCGTTCAACACCACTGATCATGATGCGTTTGTTAATAGATTACAGACCTGGGTCTGGTATCTCTGATTCTGACAGTTCTCCTCAGACTCGTCTGACATGGTTCATAAAAAACAAGAACATTATCTGTGCTTTCTGAGGCTCCTCCGGTGGATCTATGCTGACGACACGCAGCTTTACTTCTTGGTTAAACCAAAGAACCTCAATGACCTCATCACCCCTCATGATGACATCATCTTCTGTTAGATACTGGACGTCTAAAAATTTCCCTAATCTTCATTCAGACTAAACCAACTTCCCAGTTATCGACCGCAGTACTGCCTGAAAGAGACCACCTGCTTCACAAAGGTCAGTCAGTATATTCGCTCCTCTACTCCCAATCTCAAGATTGTCTCTGAGAATCTTCTGATCCTGTTTGACCGACATCAGAACCCTGAACGTCTCATTAGAACCCTGAGCGGCTCATGAGAACTCTGAACTTCTCATCAGAACCCTCCATCAGTCGTGTTTTTACCAGGTGAGAAATTCAAACCGATTCTATCAGCAAAGAACTATAAAGAACCCGATCCTCACCTCCCTTCATCGACGTGAAGGACAGGTGAAGGACAGTTGAAGGACAGATGAGGACAGGTGAAGGACAGGTGAGTACTGGTGAGGGACACGTGAAGGACAGGTAAGGACAGGTGAAGGACAGGTGAGGACAGGTAAGGACAGGTGAAGGACAGGTGAGGACAGGTGAGGGACACGTGAAGGGACAGGTGAAGGACAGGTGAGTGCAGGTGAAGGACAGGTGAGGACAGATGAAGGACAGGTGAGTACAGGTGAGAATAGGTGAGGACAGGTGAGGCACAGGTGATGACAGGTGAAGGACAGGTGAGGATAGGTGAGTACAAGGGAGTGCAGGGGAGGACAAGTGAGTACATGTGAGGACAGGGGGAGGACAAGTGAGGGACACATGAAAGACAGGTGAGTACATGTGAGGACAGGTGAAGGACAGGTGAAGGACAGGTGAGGGACAGGAGAGGGGCAGGAGAGGTGAGGACAGGTATTAAGCGTTGATGCCATGTTGTTTACCTCCATAAATTCACTCGTGTTTAACAACCTGTCAATCAATGACCTGTCAATCAATGTCGGCGCCACGGTAGCATACAATCAGAGGCCTTACATTTAGGTGGTGGGTGGGGCTTATGCTTTATTGGTCCTTTTATAAATTTTCTCACCTGGAAGGTGAATACATTTTGGGTTCCACCTGTGTTAACCTTATATGGAGATAAACAAAAGCAGGGGGCAGAGCCACAGACAGGTGTGACATCACCTGATCAGTCTGAAGCAGAAAGAGCAGGTGGGCGAGCGAGGCTGACTATGTAAAGCAGAGAGAGAGAGAGAGAGAGAGAGAGAGAGAGATGTGATTGGCCCAGAAACAGGAAGTGCTCATTCAGCACCTGTTAGCATGTAAGCTCTCTCTGATGATTCATTAGGACTCACCTGCTTGGCTGTTTTTCTCTCGTGTTGACATTTTGGCTGGTTTGAGACAAAGACATCATCAACAACAACAACATAAACAACATCACAAACAACAACAACACAAACATGGCGTCTTCTGAGTCACTACAGGAGAGACTGAGACTGAGCTAACAAAGATTCCTGCTGAGTCTGACTTCCTATTGGCTGTTACATATGATGATGGTGATGATGATGATGATGATGATGAGTGTGGTATATTCACGATGAAGATGAAGATAAATAAGATGTTTACCTTGACTGACGACCACGTCTTTGTGTCTGAAAGGAGACAGAAAAAAAAAACTTCAGAAGATTCAAAAAGTCTGATCAATCAATCAACTAATCGATCAATCAACCAATTAATTAATCAGTCAGTGTCTCTCAGCAACAGTTTAACGAACCTGAGAAATAAAAACATAATAAACTAAAATTAAAGAAACAATAAAAACACAGCAGAGAGTACTGATCGTATTTCATTGGTTTCTTTTGTTTGAATGTGATGATGTCATTTCTGACATTTCATTTCCTGATCTGTTCATGGGGTTAGTTTAGGGATTAGGTTAGGAGGAAGCAGGAACGGTCGGTATCTTCGTCTCTTCAGATGAACAATAAAGTTTTTTCATTATACTGACTGACGTTTTCTGTTCGCACCGATCAGCTGTTCTGATCAATCAGTATCAGACAGTCACTGAAACTGGACATGTGGACATATGTCCCACCCTGAGACGGAGGACAGACAAGTCTGCTAAAGACACAAAGAACAAACCTCAGTGTGTCTCTGTATAAAAACCTTTATGTCCTTACGTCGTTGAGAAAAGTCCAACCGGGAGGAGACCTTGGGGCTGCCCCAGAACACGCTGGAGGGACTACATCACCCGGCTGGCCTGGGAACGCCTCGAGGTTCCCGCGGAAGAGCTGACGGAAGTGGCTGGGGAGAGGACTGTCTGGGCTTCTTTGCTGAGGCTGCTGCCGCCAGTGACCCAGACCCGGATAAGCGGAGGACAACGAGTACGAGTACGAGTCGTTGAGAAAAAACAGAAACAAATGTAGGGCTGGGCGATAAATCGATTTTATCGATTAATTCGAATTTGTAGTTTAGGTCGATTTGTTTTAATGAAAATTGAGTTTCTATTTAAAATCCGCCACTGCCGCTCCACGCTGGGCTCCCGTAGTTCAAAGTGGGCTCACCTGTGTGTGTGTGTGTGTGTGTGTATGTGTGTGTGTGTGTCAGGGCCAAACTCTGCCGTGCGCGACACAGAGAGCAGAGGAGGATTTTAGACGCGCACCGTGTAGGGACATAAATGACATGCCGTTGTGTAAATAAGAAAAATAAGTGTTACCAACGCCAAGCTGGCAGACCCCCGAACCGTAGTAAAGGGACCTCTGAAGACCATTAGCTCCTTTAGCTTGTGTTAGCTCGTTGTGACAACAAAACATAAACAACGGGACTTCATCTGCGTTAAAAACGGCACTTTATTTTCAGCGCTGCAGGGATGATGCACAGCCTCTTTCATCAGTGTCTGACTTTTACATAGAGGGAAATAACTCAAAAACAGCATGCAGAACTGCGTAGCCTTCTTCACTGTGGCTGCTCGATGCAAACAACATAGCACATGCAGCATGCCTCACTTTCTTCCTGGGGCGCATCCGTCTGACGTCACACACCACACCCGGCGCACTAACGTCTCATACCTCCTACATCAACTACACACATACACAAATCCACACACACACACACAAGCCACACACATCAGGCTCAGCCTGTAACATAAGGCTATTTAGTTTGTTTAATAAAAGGACAAGGTATAGACCTGTTCTATAGAAAAGGTAACCTTAAATGACTTCTGTTGTGATCCAATATGATGGTAGGGGAAACACTGCCGTATGATAAAAAAGGGGTCCGGTGGAAAGCGATCACAGATGCAGTTGCCATATATATTGCAAGAGATATGGTGCCCATATATAGGCTCCTGTGAAAAGGCTGGGGTTTATTCACATGCTGAAAGCTTTGGACCCCAGGTATGTGCTACCAGGCCGCAATTTTTTTTTTTTTTTTTTTTTTAAACTAGAAGGGGGAAAAAAATCGATTTAAATCGTGAATCAGATTTTTTGTGAAAAAATCAGAGATTTTTTTTAGGCCATATCACCCAGCTCTAAACAACTGTCAGCGATGGACTGAAACTGACCATAATGAACCGTCCAATCACAGCTGATCAAAGTCCCGTCAGGTGACCACAAACAATCCGACCAATCACAGCTGATCAAAGTCCCGTCAGGCGACCACAAACAAACCGTCCAATCACAGCTGATCAAAGTCCCGTCAGGAGACCACAAACAAACCGGCCAATCACAGCTGATCAAAGTTCCATCAGGCGACCATAAACAAACCGTCCAATCACAGCTGATCAAAGTTCCGTCAGACGACCACAAACAAACCGTCCAATCACAGCTGATCAAAGTCCCGTCAGGAGACCACAAACAAACCGACCAATCACAGCTGATCAAAGTCCCGTCAGGTGACCACAAACAAACCGTCCAATCACAGCTGATCAAAGTCCCGTCAGGAGACCACAAACAAACCGTCCAATCACAGCTGATCAAAGTCCCGTCAGGAGACCACAAACAAACCGGCCAATCACAGCTGATCAAAGTCCCGTCAGGAGACCACAAACAAACCAACCAATCACAGCTGCTCAAAGTCCCGTCAGGTGACCACGAACAAACCAACCAATCACAGCTGCTCAAAGTCCCGTCAGGTGACCACGAACAAACCAACCAATCACAGCTGATCAAAGTCCCGTCAGGTGACTGCAAAGTAACCGACCAATCACAGCTGATCAAAGTCCCGTCAGGTGACGACAAACAAACTGACCAATCACAGCTGATCAAAGTCCCATCAGGTGACTGCAAAGTAACCGACCAATCACAGCTGCTCAAAGTCCCGTCAGGAGACCACAAACAAACCGTCCAATCACAGCTGCTCAAAGTTCCGTTAGGTGACGAAGAACTAACCGACCAATCACAGCTGCTCAAAGTCCCGTTAGGTGACGAAGAACTAACCGACCAATCACAGCTGCTCATAGTCCCATCAGGTGACCACAAAAACAAACCGACCAATCACAGCTGAGTTTGATTTTGTGCCATCAGTCACTCTCATAAGAACATAATGACAGTAATTGATCAATGCGTTTTTAGTTACTGATTGACAGAATATCTGATCTGATTTATTGATCCACAGAGTCTGATTTACTGTCATCAAATCTATGACATCACAATAACCTGATCAAACACACGCATATATGTGCATGTGTGCGTGTGCAGTACATTTACCTGTCCTGACACCTCATCACAGTATGTGTGTCTATATATGTGAATATGTATAAATGTGTGTGTGTGTGTGTGTGTGTACCTGTCTGCGTTCTTCACCACCTTGGCGAGCAGTTTGGACGTGGATGCAGCTTTGACCAGTTTGTTCCTGGTGTCCTCAGACGTGTCCCAGGTGCTGCTCTGAGAACGCTCCATACCTGAGGAACGCTTCACACTGGGACCCCTGATGATGTCACACAGAGACTCTGTCAGTACACAGGAGGAGGAGGAGGAGCAGCAGGAAGAGACAGGAGGAGGAGGAGGAGCAGCAGGAAGAGAAAGGAGGAGGATGTCGCTGAGCTTCATCTTCATTTCTCCTCAGATCACGTTAATGTTTTTTATTGATTACTGATCAGAATATTTATCACTTTATCAGAGATCAATAAACAAATTGCTTTTTTCTGTTGACGGATTCAACATCCTGAGAATAAATAAATAAACGAACACTCTGTAAACAACCTGTAAGTGCTGTCTGATCAAAACGATCTTCAGATGATGAAGATTAAAAACCCAACTGTTTTTTACCTCCAGAGACACTCAGTGGTGTTAGTGAGGAGAAAGAGGAGCAGGAGCAAGAGGAGAAAGAGGAGCAGGAGGAGGGTAGGAGGAGCAGGAGGGTTAGGGTAAAGGAGGAGAAGGACAAAGAGGAGCAGGAGAGGGAGGAGGGGGAAGGAGGAGCAGGAAGAGCAGGAGAAGGGACAGTCCTCAGGTGAAGCTGGGGGAACAGGTCAGTCCACTTGATAAACAACAGCCCAGCCTGAACTTTCTACAGCAAGAAATTAGAGTCAGGAGACTCCAGGACCTCCAGGAAGATCAAGGAGGCCTCAGGAATTCCAGTTAGAGCAGAGGAGGTCTGCAGGAGGAGGAGCAGATCCTTAGGAGCGGCTGGGAGAAGAAAACATTAGTAGTCTTGATCAAACACACAGTCAGTACAGAAGGTCTCAAGGAGAGTCCAGGACCTCCGGGAGAGTCCAGGACCTCTCAGAGGATTCGGGACCTCCAGGAGAGTCCAGGACCTCTCAAAGGATCCAGGACCTCCAGGAGAGTCCAGGACCTCTCAAAGGATCCAGGAACTCCAGGCGGCCCCAGGACCTCCAGCTCCTGAGGAACCACAGTCCTGCTTGTATCCACACCTGAGGAGCTGCAACAAGTGCATTCAGCCAATCAGGAGCACATGAGCTGGTCATGTGACTCAGGTGTGGGCAGAGCAGAAAAGGACTGTGGCTCCTCGGGGGCAGGGTTAGCATCCACTGACAGGGTGATGTCAGAGCAGCAGCAGCAGGAAGTGAGGTCAGTTGCAGCCGACAGATCACAAACTGGAACCTTTTGAGAAGTGCGTGGCCTTTACTGCTGTCGGCGGACTGGACCAGTCTCTGCTGCTGGGGGATCGGGGGGGTCTGGGGAGGGTGGGGGGAGGAAGGAGAGGGGGACAGGTCCTTTGGACGAGGAGGTTCCTCATGTTCCTGGATCTCCTCCATCTGAGACCGCTGACTGCTGACCTCCTTCTTCCTGTCCGTTCCGCTACAGACAGAACCAGGACCGTCAGAGACCACAAACTACCCAGGCTCTACAGAGACTCTACTGAGACTCTAAGAGACTCTACTGAGGCTCTACTGACTCTACTGAGGTTCTAAGAGACTCTACAAGAGCTCTTTGACTCTACTGAGGCTCTATTGACTCTAGTGAGGCTCTACTGACTCTACTGAGACTCTACTGAGGCTCTACTGAGGCCCTGCTGACTCTACTGAGGCTCTACTGATTCTACTGAGGCCCTACTGAGACTATAGTGAGGCTCTACTGACACTTCTGACTCTACTGAGACTCTAGTGAGGCTCTACTGACTCTACTGAGACTCTACTGAGGCTCTACTGATGCCCTGCTGACTCTACTGAGGCCCTGCTGACTGTACCGAGGCCCTACTGATTCTACTGAGGACCTACTGAGACTATAGTGAGGCTGTACTGACACTTCGGACTCAACTGAGACTCTAGTGAGGCTCTACTGACTCTACTGAGACTCTACTGAGGCTCTACTAAGGTTCTACTGAAGCCCTACTGACTCTACTGAGGCTCTACTGACTACTGAGGCCCTGCTTAGGCTCTACTGATTCTACTGAGGCCCTACTGAGACTATAGTGAGGCTCTACTGACACTTCGGACTCTACTGAGACTCTAGTGAGGCTCTACTAACTCTACTGAGGCCCTGCTGAGACTCTACTGAGACTCTGATGAGGCTCTACTGACTCTACTAAGACTCTAGTGAGGCTCTACTGACTCTACTGAGGCCCTACTGATAATGTACTGACGCTCTAATGACTCTAATGAGGCCCTACTGACTCTACTGAGGGTCTATGGACTCTACTGAGGCTCTACTGAGGCTCTACTGACTAATGAGGCTCTACTGACGCTCTACTGACTCTACTGAGGCTGTACTGTAGGGCTGCAACTAACGATTGTTTTCATTGACGACTAATCTGTCGATTACTAACTAATCATTTTATCGAAAAATGTGTTAAAATGTTGAAAAATGTCTGCCTGTCTCTCCCAAACCTTAAAATTATGTCATCTAATGTCTTGTTTCGTACTCAAGCCAAAGGGTTTTAGTTCACCATCATGGAAGAGTGTGTGAAGCTGCCAATATTTTAACGAAAAAAGCTGGAAGAAGAGTATTTTGGGTACTTTTATAGTACTTTTCTATGAAAAATGACTCAAACCGATTTGTCAACTACTGCAGTACTACTATTACTACTACTACTAGTCACTGATTATTTTAATAGTCAGTTAGTTATCGATTAGTCGACTAATCGTTGCAGCCCTACTCTACTGAAGCTCTACCAATTCTACTGAGGCTCTACTGAGGCTCTACTGATACTCTATTGACGCTCTACTGACTCTACTGTAGCACTACTAAGGCTCTACAGACTCTACTGAGGCCCTATTGAGGCTCTACTGAAGCTCTACTGACGCCCTTCTGATGCTCTACTGAGGCTCTACTGTCTCTCAACTGACTACTGAGACTCTACTAAGGCTCTACTGACGCTACCAAGGTTCAACTGACTCTACTGAGGTTCTACCGACTCTACTGAGGCCCTACTGACTACTGAGGCCCTACTGACTCTAATGAGGCTCTACTGACTACTGAGGCCCTGCTGAGGCTCAACTGACCATACTGAGGCCCTACTGGCGCTCTACTGACTCTACTGAAGCCCTACTGAGGTTCTACTGACTCTACTGAGGCCCCAGTGAGACTCTAGTGAGGCTCTACTGATTCTACTGAGGCCCTACTGACTCTAATGAGGCTCTACTGATTCTACTGAGGCTCTACTGATACTCCACTGACTCTACTGGGGCCCTACTGAGGCTCTACTAAGGCTGTAATTATTCTACTGAGGCTCTACTGAGGCTCTATTAATACTCTACTGACTCTACTGGGGCCCTACTGATTCTACTGAGACTCTAGTGAGGCTCTACTGACTCTACTGATTCTACTGAGGCCCTGCTGAGGCCCTGCTGAGGCTCCACTGACTCTACTGAGGCCCTACTGAGGCCCTTCTGACTCTCCTGAGGCTCTACTGACTCTACTGTGTCTCTTTAAAATTCAGAGTGAATGAAGCTGTTGTGTTGTGTCGACTGATGTCACTGAGGACAACTTGACCCTCAGAACTGTGACAACAAACAGAGTGATTAATTATTTTAAATCTATTGATCAGATTCAGTCTGGAGGCTGAAATAAGATCAGTGATTAATGGTGAGAGAGGAAACACATCACAGATATAAACAGGAAACAGTGACTGTGACACGGAGACAAACCTAAACAGGTGGACTGAACTGACTGACACTCAGTGATGTCTCTGCGTGTCTCTGTTGCTGTGTGTGTCTCTGTGTCTGTGTGTGTCTCTGTTGCTGTGTGTGTCTCTGTGTCTGTGTGTGTCTCTGTGTCTGTCTCTGTTGCTGTGTGTGTCTCTGTGTCTGTGTGTGTCTCTGTGTCATTGTGTGTGTGTCTCTGTGTCTGTGTGTGTCTCTGTGTCATTGTGTGTGTGTCTCTGTGTGTCTCTGTGTCTGTGTCTGTCTCTGTGTCATTGTGTGTGTGTCTCTGTGTCATTGTGTGTGTGTCTCTGTGTCATTGTGTGTGTGTCTCTGTGTGTCTCTGTGTCTGTGTGTGTCTCTGTGGCTGTGTCTGTCTCTGTGTCATTGTGTGTGTGTTTCTGTGTCTGTGTGTGTCTCTGTGTCATTGTGTGTGTGTCTCTGTGTCTGTGTGTGTCTCTGTGTCATTGTGTGTGTGTCTCTGTGTGTGCTTCTGTGTCTCTGTGTGTCTCTGTATCTGTGTGTGTCTCTGTGTCTGTGTGTGTCTCTGTGTCATTGTGTGTGTCTCTGTGTCTGTGTGTCTCTGTGTCATTGTGTGTGTGTCTCTGTGTCTGTGTGTGTCTCTGTGTCATTGTGTGTGTGTCTCTGTCTGTGTGTGTCTCTGTGTCATTGTGTGTGTGTCTCTGTGTGTCTTTGTGTGCTTCTGTGTCTCTGTGTGGCTGTGTGTGTCTCTGTGTCTGTGTGTATCTCTGTGTCATTGTGTATGTGTCTCTGTGTCTGTCTGTGTCTGCGTGTGTCTCTGTGTCATTGTGTGTATCTCTGTATCTGTGTGTGCTTCTGTGTCTCTGTGTCTGTGTGTCTCTGTGTGTCTGTGTGTCTCTGTGTCTGTGTGTCTGTGTGTCTCTGTGTCTTTGTGTGTGTCTGTGTGTCTCTGTGTTTCTGTATGTGTCTCTGTGTTTCTGTCTGTGTCTGCGTGTGTCTCTGTGTCATTGTGTGTGTCTCTGTATCTGTGTGTGCTTCTGTGTCTCTGTGTCTGTGTGTCTCTGTGTGTCTGTGTGTCTCTGTGTCATTGTGTGTGTCTGTGTGTCTCTGTGTTTCTGTATGTGTCTCTGTGTTTCTGTGTGTGTCTGTGTGTCTGTGTGTTTCTGTGTGTGTCTGTGTGTCTGTGTGTTTCTGTGTGTCTCTGTGTTTCTGTGTGTGTCTGTGTGTCTCTGTGTTTCTGTGTGTGTCTATGTTTCTGTGTGTCTGTGTGTCCCTTTGTGTGTGTGTCTCTCTGTGTCTCTCACCTCTTGGCAGCAGACGACACCGTCTCCTTCCTGGTGACAGACGTGGAGTCTCTTTTACGTCCAGATGTTCCTCCATTAGCGATACAGGACATTGAGTAGGCTTCACGCAGCGCAGCACCTCCTGCAGGAGGCAGCACGTCAACCAGTTAAAGGACAAGACCAGTAAAGACCTAAACCTGACCAGTGACGACGAATGTAACCAGGTCAAACTAGGACTGACCAGTGAAGACGACTGTAACCAGTTCAAACTGGGACAGGTGAGGGGCATTACCTTTCCCTCCATGTTGTTTCTTGGTTGAGGACGCCGCTGAGACTTCAGAGGCAGCGAGGCGGCGAAGGACATCAGCAAGAGCAGCTTTCATCACAGTCAGCTCGTCCTCCTGCTGCTGGACACGAAGCTCCAGAGCTGAGAGACGGTCGTTGACATCGGAGACACTTGCTCCAGACATGCTGTCATCTACAGTGAGACAGAGACAATGATGTCACACAGAGGAGACTACACCTGTCTCTGTGACTGCACATATCTCTGTGACTGTATCCGTCTCTGTGACTGTACCTGCCTCAGTGACTGGATCTGTCTCTGTGTCTGTACCTGTATCTGTGTCTGTACCCGTCACTGTGTCTGTATCTGTCTCTGTGACTGTACCCCTCTCTGTGTCTGTACCCGTCACTGTGTCTGTACCTGCCTCTGTGACTGCATCCGTCACTGTGTCTGTACCTGTATCTGTACTTGTCTCTGTGTCTGTACCCGTCTCTGTGTCTGTACCCGTCACTGTGTCTGTACCTGCCTCTGTGACTGCATCCGTCACTGTGTCTGTACCTGTATCTGTACTTGTCTCTGTGTCTGTACCCGTCTCTGTGACTGTACCCGTCACTGTGTCTGTACCTCTATCTGTACCCGTCACTGTGTCTGTACCTGTCTCCGTGTCCCTGTATCTGGACCTGTCTCTGTGTCTGTGACTGTCTCTGTGCATGTGGCTGTCTCTGTGTCTGACTCTGTATCTGTCTCTGTATCTGTACTTGTCTCTGTGTCCCTGTATCTGGACCTGTCTGTGTGTCTATACCTGTCTCTGTGACTGTACCCGTCTCATTATTTGTAACAGTGTCTGTGACTGTACCCGTCTCTGTGTCTGTACCTGTCTCTGTGACTGTATCCGTCTCTGTGACTGTACCTGTATCTGTGTCTGTACCTGTCTCTGTGTCTGTACCTGTCTCTGTGACTGTATCCATCTCTGTGACTGTACCTGTCTCTGTGACTGTACCTGTCTCTGTGACTGTACCTGTCTCTGTGTCTGTACCTGTCTCTGTGACTGTACCTGTCTCTGTGACTGTACCTGTCTCTGTGACTGTACCTGTCTCTGTGACTGTACCTGTCTCTGTGACTGTACCTGTCTCTGTGACTGTACCTGTCTCTGTGACTGTACCTGTCTCTGTGACTGTACCTGTCTCTGTGACTGTACCTGTCTCTGTGACTGTACCTGTCTCTGTGACTGTACCTGTCTCTGTGACTGTACCTGTCTCTGTGACTGTACCTGTCTCTGTGACTGTACCTGTCTCTGTGACTGTACCTGTCTCTGTGACTGTACCTGTCTCTGTGACTGTACCTGTCTCTGTGTCTGTACCTGTCTCTGTGACTGTACCCGTCTCTGTGTCTGTACCTGTCTCTGTGACTGTACCTGTCTCTGTGACTGTACCCGTCTCTGTGTCTCTACCCGTCTCTGTGTCTGTACCTGTCTCTGTATCTGTACCTGTCTCTGTGTCCCTGTATCTGGACCTGTCTCTGTGTCTGTGTCTGTGACTGTCTCTGTGCATGTGGCTGTCTCTGTGTATGACTCTGTATCTGTGTCTGTACCTGTCTCTGTGTCCCTGTATCTGGACCTGTCTCTGTGTCTGTGTCTGTACCTGTCTCTGTACCTGTACCTGTCTCTGTGACTGTACCCGTCTCTGTGTCTGCACCCGTCTCTGTGACTGCACCCGTCTCTGTGTCTGTACCTGTCTCTGTATCTGTACCTGTCTCTGTATCTGTACCTGTCTCTGTGACTGTACCTGTCTCTGTATCTGTACCTGTCTCTGTGACTGTACCCGTCTCTGTGTCTGCACCCGTCTCTGTGTCTGTACCCATCTCATTATTTGTAACAGTGTCTGTGACTGTACCCCTCTCTGTGTCTGTACCTGTCTCTTTATCTGTACATGTCTGTTTCTGTACCTGTCTCTGTGTCTGTACCTGTCTCTGTGTCTGTATTTGTGACTGTACCTGTCTGTGTGTCTGTACCCGTCTCTGTGTCTGTACCCATCTCATTATTTGTAACAGTGTCTGTGTCTGTACCTGTCTCTGTGTCTGTATTTGTGACTGTACCTGTCTCTGTGTCTGTACTTGTCTATGTGTCTGTACCTGTCGATGTGTCTGTACTGGTCGATGTGTCTGTACCTGTCTCTGTGTCTGTACCTGTCTTTGTGTCTGTACCTGTCTCTGTGTCTGTACCTGTCTTTGTGTCTGTGACTGTACCTGTCTCTGTGACTGTACCCGTCTGTGTCTGCACCCGTCTCTGTGTCTGTACCTGTCTCTGTGTCTGTACCTGTCACTGTGTCTGTACCTGTCTCTTTATCTGTAAATGTCTGTTTCTGTACCTGTCTCTGTGTCTGTACCTGTCTCTGTGTCTGTATTTGTGACTGTACCTGTCTGTGTGTCTGTACCTGTCTATGTGTCTGTACCTGTCGATGTGTCTGTACCTGTCTCTGTGTCTGTACCTGTCTCTGTGTCTGTACCTGTCTCTGTGTCTGTACCTGTCTCTGTGTCTGTACCTGTCTTTGTGTCTGTACCTGTCTCTGTGTCTGTAACTGTACCTGTCTCTGTGACTGTATCCGTCTGTGTCTGCACCCGTCTGTGTCTGTACCTGTCTCTGTGTCTGTACCTGTCACTGTGTCTGTACCCGTCTCATTATTTGTAACAGTGTCTGTGTCTGTACCTGTCTCTTTATCTGTACCTGTCTGTGTCTGTACCTGTCTCTGTGTCTGTGACTGTATCTGTCTCTGTATCTGTACCAGTCTCTGTGTCTGCACCCGTCTCTGTGTCTGTATCTGTCTCTGTGTCTGTACCTGTCTCATTATTTGTAACAGTGTCTGTGTCTGTACCTGTCTCTGTGTCTCTGTATCTGTGACTGTACCTGTCTCTGTGTCTCTGTATCTCTGTATCTGTGACTGTACCTGTCTCTGTGTCTCTGTATCTCTGTCTCTGTGACTGTAACTGTCTCCGTGTCTGTACGTGTCTCTGTGGCTGTACCTGTATCTGTGTCTGTACCTGTATCTGTGTCTGTACCTGTCTCTGTGTCTGTACCTGTCTCTGTGATTGTACCTGTCTCTGTGTGTCTCTGTGACTGTACCTGTCTCTGTGTGTCTCTGTGTCTGTACCTGTCTCTGTGATTGTACCTGTCTCTGTGTCTCTCTGTGACTGTACCTGTCTCTGTGTGTCTCTGTGTCTGTACCTGTCTCTGTGACTGTACCTGTCTCTGTGTCTGTACCTGTCTCTGTGTCTGTACCTGTCTCTGTGTCTGTACCTGTCTCTGTGTCTGTACCTGTCTCTGTGTCTGTACCTGTCTCTGTGTCTGTACCTGTCTCTGTGTCTGTACCTGTCTCTGTGTCTGTACCTGTCTCTGTGTCTGTACCTGTCTCTGTGTCTGTACCTGTCTCTGTGTCTGTACCTGTCTCTGTGTCTGTACCTGTCTCTGTGTCTGTACCTGTCTCTGTGTCTGTACCTGTCTCTGTGTCTGTACCTGTCTCTGTGTCTGTACCTGTCTCTGTGTCTGTACCTGTCTCTGTGTCTGTACCTGTCTCTGTGTCTGTACCTGTCTCTGTGACTGTACCCGTCTCTGTGACTGTACCTGTCTCTGTGACTGTACCTGTCTCTGTGTCTGTACCTGTCTCTGTGACTGTACCTGTCTCTGTGTCTGTACCTGTCTCTGTGACTGTACCTGTCTCTGTGACTGTACCCGTCTCTGTGTCTGTACCTGTCTCTGTGACTGTACCTGTCTCTGTGTCTGTACCTGTCTCTGTGACTGTACCTGTCTCTGTGTCTGTACCTGTCTCTGTGACTGTACCTGTCTCTGTGTCTGTACCTGTCTCTGTGACTGTACCTGTCTCTGTGTCTGTACCTGTCTCTGTGACTGTACCTGTCTCTGTGTCTGTACCTGTCTCTGTGTCTGTACCTGTCTCTGTGTCTGTACCTGTCTCTGTGTCTGTACCTGTCTCTGTGTCTGTACCTGTCTCTGTGTCTGTACCTGTCTCTGTGTCTGTACCTGTCTCTGTGTCTGTACCTGTCTCTGTGTCTGTACCTGTCTCTGTGTCTGTACCTGTCTCTGTGTCTGTACCTGTCTCTGTGTCTGTACCTGTCTCTGTGTCTGTACCTGTCTCTGTGTCTGTACCTGTCTCTGTGTCTGTACCTGTCTCTGTGTCTGTACCTGTCTCTGTGTCTGTACCTGTCTCTGTGTCTGTACCTGTCTCTGTGTCTGTATCTGTCTCTGTGTCTGTACCTGTCTCTGTGACTGTACCTGTCTCTGTGACTGTACCTGTCTGTGTCTGCACCCGTCTCTGTGTCTGTACCTGTCTCTGTGTCTGTACCTGTCTCTGTGTCTGTACCTGTCTCTGTGTCTGTACCTGTCTCTGTGTCTGTACCTGTCTCTGTGTCTGTACCTGTCTCTGTGTCTGTACCTGTCTCTGTGTCTGTACCTGTCTCTGTGTCTGTACCTGTCTCTGTGTCTGTACCTGTCTCTGTGTCTGTACCTGTCTCTGTGTCTGTACCTGTCTCTGTGTCTGTACCTGTCTCTGTGTCTGTACCTGTCTCTGTGTCTGTACCTGTCTCTGTGTCTGTACCTGTCTCTGTGTCTGTACCTGTCTCTGTGTCTGTACCTGTCTCTGTGTCTGTACCTGTCTCTGTGTCTGTACCTGTCTCTGTGTCTGTACCTGTCTCTGTGTCTGTACCTGTCTCTGTGTCTGTACCTGTCTCTGTGTCTGTACCTGTCTCTGTGTCTGTACCTGTCTCTGTGTCTGTACCTGTCTCTGTGTCTGTACCTGTCTCTGTGTCTGTACCTGTCTCTGTGTCTGTACCTGTCTCTGTGTCTGTACCTGTCTCTGTGTCTGTACCTGTCTCTGTGTCTGTACCTGTCTCTGTGTCTGTACCTGTCTCTGTGTCTGTACCTGTCTCTGTGTCTGTACCTGTCTCTGTGTCTGTACCTGTCTCTGTGACTGTACCTGTATCTGTGTCTGTACCCATCTCTGTGCATGTACCTGTCTCTGTGTCTGTACCCGTCTCTGTCCATGTACCTGTCTCTGTGTCTGTACCTTTCTCTGTGACTGTACCTGTCTCTGTGTCTATACCTGTCTCTGTGCATATACCTGTCTCTGTGTCTGTACCTTTCTCTGTGTCTGTACCTGTCTTTGTGTCTGTACCTGTCTCTGTGTCTGTACCTGTCTCTGTGCATATACCTGTCTCTGTGTCTGTGACTGTACCTGTCTCTGTGACTGTACCTGTATCTGTGTCTGTACCTGTCTCTGTGATTGTACCTGTCTCTGTGTGTCTCTGTGACTGTACCTGTCTCTCAGGGCTTGACGCTAACTTTTTTCCCAAGGAGCACATGTGCTCCTGAGTTGAAAAAGTAAGGAGCGCACAAAGAACTTTAGGGGCACAATGTAAATTGATCAAATAATGTGTTTTCCGTATTAAACGTGATGCAAATAGACATTGACAAGCAAAATTATGTAATGAATTTGTATACAAAATGTACAGAAAGGTAAAATCATCAAGTTTTGAAAAAGTATTGCAATTTAATTTTGTCTTTAATGTTATCTTATATATATTATCTTTGCAATATGATTATCTTATATAATCTTATATAATGTTATTACTATCCTAAAACATTCTCCAGGTCCTCTGAAACTCTGCAGAACTTATTTCCACCCTGCCCAGCAGCGGTACTGTGGAGAACGGTCCCTAACTGCGGGGAGAACGGAGCCTCTTTTCCCAGTCCCTCTTTTCCGCCACAATTTGACTTATTCCCACCCAGCCGACAGCCTGGCCGTGGAGAAAGGTCCCTAACTGCATCAATAAGTGATTAACATAGGGGAGATCAAAATAAAATAAATAAATAACATAAAAATCAACCAGCTACCCTCCTTCCCTGACAGTCCCTTCATAAGTAAAGAACAGTCCCTAAAGTGCGGTGAGGTTTGTGGACCATTACCTGTCTGCCACAAGAGAGAAAAGGTTAACGGCTCATTTCTCCTCTTTCTACCTGTGTGCCGCCACGACTCGGTTGTCCAGGTACTACTGGGCAGTCATGACACCAACGAAGAGGAAGTTATTGGACCTGGAGTCGGACTTCTCTGTCGCGGTAAGCCGTTATCTTGCGCACTATGATCATCTGCCGTATTCCTGTCTGTGACCCCCGTTCAACCCACAACCGCCGTGATAATAGGGACACCCCAGCGCCCACTCCACTAACTTGACGTGGAAATGAGCGGTAGTCTAGAAAACTGGAGAGTTTTTGTTGTTGTTTGTTTGTTTTTTTTTTTTTTTTGGAGGGTGCTCGTGTGCCCTCACATAGATTGAGCCCTGGGCGGTCATCCACATTGCCCATAGCAAAAACCGTCCCTGCCTCCTCCACACTGACTTATTTCCACCCTGCCGACAGTGGGACTTACGGCCGAGATCCACCGGGCATGTCAGCAGTGCGACACGTCTGCAGCACGAGTCCCGTAGCAGCTCGCCCCCATTAATCAATTACAGCGGCTCCACTGGCAACGGGAGCGGTGCAACAACCCCAGTCTGCCGCCCAAGAATTCTGTATTTTACGCGGCTCTTCTATTTTTGTCGCGCTACGCTCCCCTACGCGACCCTCCAGCAGATAAAAACTACATGAAATAGTGTGCTAAACGAGCACAGTGTGTTTTTAAATGAATAAACCATTATCAGAGGTGATATGTGATGATTTTTTTTCATGCATTTACCCATGTTTATCTGTGACATTGTGTAAATGTCCGTGGCGGACATTTTAAAGCGAGTAGATGACAAACAGTACAGTAAACTTGTAGATAACTCAAATATATGTAATAACTTAGGTGGAAAATGCTTTAACATTTCATGCAGCCTCTCAGCTTGGCAAACGGTAAACAACCCCGCTGGCGTCTCTACGTGTCGCTTCCGTACGCAGTCAGTGGAGTCTATATGAATACGCCGCGACGCTACGCTGTGGACCCCGGCCGTTATGTTCATTATGCCGACAGTGGCTTGGAAAACCGCCCATAACCATGTCACACGGGGAAGAGGGAAGAGGGAAGGCGGCTGGAGTTCCTTCAATATTTGCGGTTAGATTATCATATTTTTTTATTGACAAAAATATAAGCTGCTTCGGCTGACTTTTTTATGCGCACATGTGCCCCTAAATATTTTTTACAGTCCGCACACACGTATTTTTAGTCGCAAATCCGAGTGAAACGCTCGCACTGTCGAGTCCTGCTGTATCTGTGTCTGTACCTGTATCTGTGTCTGTACCTGTCTCTGTGTGTCTGTACCTGTCTCTGTGTGTCTGTACCTGTCTCTGTGTCTGTGTCTGTACCTGTCTCTGTGTGTCTCTACCTGTCTCTGTGCCTGTACCTGTCTCTGTGTCTGTACCTGTCTCTGTGACTGTACCTGTCTGTCTCTGTACCTGTCTCTGTGTGTCTGTACCTGTCTCTGTGCCTGTACCTGTCTCTGTGTCTGTGTCTGTACCTGTGTCTGTACCTGTATCTGTGTCTGTACCTGTCTCTGTGTGTCTGTACCTGTATCTGTGTCTGTACCTGTCTCTGTGTGTCTCTACCTGTCTCTGTGTGTCTCTACCTGTCTCTGAGCCTGTACCTGTCTCTGTGTCTGTACCTGTCTCTGTGTCTGTGGCTGTACCTGTCTTTGTGTCTGTACCTGTCTCTGTGTCTGTACCTGTCTCTGTCTGTACCTGTCTCTGTGTCTGTGGCTGTACCTGTCTCTGTGTCTGTACCTGTCTCTGTGACTGTACCTGTCTCTTTATCTGTCGTGTCTGTATCTGTACCTGTCTCTGTGTCTGCCTGTCTCTGTGACTGCACCCGTCTCTGTGACTGTACCTGTCTCTGTGACTGTACCTGTCTCTGTGTCTGTACCTGCCTTGCGACTGTACCTGTCTCTGTGACTGCACCCGTCTCTGTGTCTGCCTGTCTCTGTGACTGTACCCGTCTCTGTGTCTCTACCCATCTCTGTGACTGTACCTGTCTCTGAGACTGTACCTGTCTCTGTATCTGTACCTGTCTCTGTGACTGTACCTTTCTCTGTGTCTCTACCCGTCTCTGTGTCTGTACCTGTGTCTATGTCTGTACCCGTCTCTGAGACTGTACCTGTCTCTGTATCTGTACCCGTCTCTGTATCTGTACCTGTCTCTGTGACTGTACATGTATCTGTGACTGTACCCGTCTCTGTGTCTGTACCTGTCTCTATGACTCTACCTGTCTCTGTGTCTGTACCCGTCTCTGTGACTGTACCTGTCTCTGTGACTGTACCTGTCTCTGTGACTGTACCTGTTTCTGTGTCTCTTCCCGTCTCTGTGATTGTACCTGTCTCTGTGTCTGTGTGCGTACCTGTCTCTGTGACTGTACCTGTCTCTGTGTCTGTACCTCTCTGTGACTGTACCAGTCTCTGTGACAATGTCTGCACCTGTCATTGTGTCTGTCTCTGTGTCTGTACCTGTCTCTGTGTCTGTACCCGTCTCTGTGTCTGTACCTGTCTCTGTGTCTGTACCCGTCTCTGTGTCTGTACCTGTCTCTGTGACTGTACCCGTCTCTGTGTCTGCACCCGTCTCTGTGTCTGTACCTGTCTCTGTGTCTGTACCCGTCTCTGTGTCTGTACCTGTCTCTGTGACTGTACCCATCTCTGTGACTGCACCTGTCTCTGTGTCTGTACCTGTCTCTGTGACTGTACCCGTCTCTATGTCTGTACCTGTATCTGTGTTTGTACCCGTCTCTGTGACTGCACCCGTCTGTGTCTGTACCCGTCTCTGTGTCTGTACCCGTCTCTGTGATTGTACCTGTCTCTGTGTCTGTACCTGTCTCTGTGTCTGTACCTGTCTTTGTGACAATGCCTGTACCTGTATCTGTGACTGTACCCGTCTCTGTGTCTGTACCTGTATCTGTGACTGTACCTGTCTCTGTGACTGTACCTGTCTGTGTCTGTACCTGTCTTTGTGACAATGCCTGTACCTGTATCTGTGACTGTACCTGTCTCTGTGACTGTACCTGTCTCTGTGACTATACCCATCTCTGTGTCTGTACCTGTCTAGGTGAGTCGGATGTTTATTGATTATCAGACCTTAATCAGATTCATCAGTTTATAAACTACAACCAGCAGCAGAGACTACTTCCTGAAACACACACAGAGGACGGAGGACAAATAAATCATTTCCTGAGTCTTTGTTCTACAGATCAGAGTCCACACACACACACACACACACACAATAACACACAGTAACACACAGTAACCCCCCCCCCCCACACACACACACACACACACACACACACACATCCCGCTCCGTCGTCTCAGGAGGAGCCGTTTGTTTTGCGGCCCTGCAGCCGCCGGAGGGGCGGTGCAGACTCTGTCTGATAAATACAGCAGTGACACGTGTAAAGCCGCCGGAGGCGCATGCGGCTCTCACCGTGCGGCCACTGCATGGACAGGTGACCGGGCGGTGCTCGGGGCGCGAGCGGCGGGCGGGACTTACCTAAGCTGCCGGTGAATCCGTCCATTTTCCGGGACAAAAGCGGGAGTCCGGGCCGGAGGCCTGCGGGAGGCTGAGCGCACACTGCGGGCCTCCGTCCGGGTTTTTCCACCGCAGCGAGGGGAGGAGGAGGCGAGCCGAGCCGAGCCGAGCCGGGTCTATCCCCGCCGCGCTGCCCGCCCTGTCCGTCCGTCCGTGAGGCCGAAGATCCGCCGCTTTCCTGCGGGCTGGAAGAAGAAGCCGCTCCCGGAGGATCCGACACAGACACCAAGAGAAGCCGCGGAGCCGCAGACACGACGGACCGACGCTGCTGCGCGTTTCCGACTCCGCCTGCTCTGGCAGCGCGCGCTTCCCCCGGAGAAGGAGGAGGAGGGGGAGAAGGAGGAAGGGGGGCTGTTACAGACAGAGACACAGATGGGGGAGTCAGGTTTCACCCTCTCAGCTGAGGAGCTGCGGCGCCCCCCGGCGGTCACTCTACGTCATCACAAACACAAACGCATAAAGTTTATTCAATTCAAACTCACCAGTGCTGTACCTGACTGTAGGTTCGTTGGAGATGAGCCAGTCCTGCGCAGATTCGATCACCGGCGTTCGGCGCACAATGCATGCCGGTTAGTTTTGTGTTCATCCCGACTTGCTCTGCCTTGCTTGGCCACAGTTTTTAGAGCCAGGCGCTGCAGCTGCTCTCCACTGACTGCACCGCCTGGCTCTCACCTGATCTAACAGCTGATTGGTTCAGATATCAACTCAACAAGATGCTCGTTTTAGATACAGAGTCTACTGTATATTAACACTGGACTGTTTTAATTATTGAAGTATTTAGCAACACAGAGACTGGTGGTCAGTGGGATGTGAGGATTCTTAAACTAACATCAGATGTGAAGCCCTGACTGTATCTGACTGAGCCTTAATGAAAGCTGTTTTCTTGTTTTTTTTTCCTCTGAAAATAGTATGAACCTTATAGCTAAGCACAGTGTATTCAGCCTGTGTAGTTGAGGGGACAAACTGATATGCTGATTTACAGGAGAGTTCATGTCAAATGGAGGATAAACTATGAACATAAACTACAGATCACCTGTAAAGCATTTTAATAAATTAATCTATCATAATTAAAACAACTGGAGACTGAGAACAAACTGATATATGGGTCTGATCACTTTTTTTTAATGAATTGACATCATTCCAGACAGCATGTTAGTGTGTCTGTGACTTCCTGTACGGACTGAAGGCTGCTGGAAACTGTCAGGAAACTGTCCGACTTCACTGCTTCTTTTTGTCACCGCCCCCGCTGTGGCCGCCTGCTCTCCTCTACTTTTCAGGCGAGGCGCAGTTCATCTCAAACAAGCTTTGTATCTGTGCGTCATCAGCCAGGGTGGAGATGATGATCAGGGACGGTTTCCAGAAGCCTTTAGTCTGAACAGGAAGTGACAGAAACACTGACTTCCTGTCAGATCTGAGCCTGTTATCACTCATAAATTAGTTTGTATTAATTAGGCCTATGGCAAATGCCGTCAGATACAGTCAGCGACAATCAGATACAGCCAGGTACAGTCAGATACAGTCAGCGGCAATCAGATACAGTCAGGGACAATCAGATACAGTCAGGGACAATCAGATACAGTCAGGTACAGTCAGATACAGTCAGCTACAATCAGATACAGCCAGGTACAGTCAGATACAGTCAGCGGCAATCAGATACAGTCAGGGACAATCAGATACAGCCAGGTACAGTCAGATACAGTCAGCGGCAATCAGATACAGTCAGGGACAATCAGATACAGTTAGGTACAGTCAGATACAGTCAGCTACAGTCAGACACAGTCAGATACAGTCAACTACAATCAGATACAGCCAGGTACAGTCAGATACAGTCAGGGACAATCAGATACATTCAGACACAGTCAGATACAGTCAGCGACAATCAGATACAGTCAGGTACAGTCAGATACAATCAGATACAGCCAGGTACAGTCAGATACAGTCAGCGGCAATCATATACAGTCAGGTACAGTCAGATACAATCAGATACAGCCAGGTACAGTCAGCTACAAGCAGATACAATCAGGTACAGTCAGACACAGTCAGATACAGTCAGCGACAATCAGATACAGTCAGGTACTGTTGGGTACAGTCAGATACAGTCATACAGTCAGGTACAGTCAGACACAGTCATACAGTCAGGTACAATCTGGTAAAGTCAGATACAGTCAGGTACCGTCAGGTACAGTCATACAGTCAGATCCAGTCAGACACAGTCAGATCCAGTCAGGTACAGTCAGTTACAGTCATACAGTCAGGTACAATCTGGTAAAGTCAGATACAGTCAGATACAGTCAGGTACAATCAATTACAGTCAGATACAGTCAGATACAGTCAGGTACAGTCAGATACAGTCAGGTACAATCAATTACAGTCAGATACAGTTCGATACAGTCAGGTACAGTCATACAGTTAGGTACCGTTGGGTACAGTCAGGTACAATCTGGTAAAGTCAGATACAGTCAGGTATGGTCAGTCAGTCAGTCAGGTACAGTCAGACACAGTCAGACATAGACAGGTACAGTGAGGTACAGTCAGATGCAGTCAGATGCAGTCAGGCACAGTCAGACACAGTCATACAGTCAGGTACAGTCATACAGTCAGGTACAGTCGGGTACAATCAGTTACAGTCAGATACTGGCGGGTACAGTCATACAGTCAGATACTGTCGGGTACAGTCAGGTACAATCTGGTAAAGTCAGATACAGTCAGGTATGGTCAGACACAGACAGGTACAGTCAGATACAGTCAGACACAGTCAGACACATACAGGTACAGTCAGATTCAGACAGGTACAGTCAGATACAGTCAGATACAGTCAGTCGCGTACAGTCAGACACAGTAAGATACAGTCAGCTACAATCAGATAGTCAGGTACAGTCAGATGTAATCAGGTACAGTCAGATATAATCAGGTACAGTCAGATATAATCAGGTACAGTCACGTAAAGTCAGACACAGTAAGATACAGTCAGCTACAATCAGATAGTCAGGTACAGTCAGATATAATCAGGTATAGTCAGACACAGTCAGGGCTTCACATCTGTACAGATGTTAGTTTAAGATTGATATTTAATATTTAAATAATGAGCACACGAATGTCCATCAGACTGTTTAGTTTATGATGAATAGATTCAGTCTGTGATCAGTGACATTTCAACAGAATAAAACTTAAATCAAATTTAAATCTCTGAAATTCAATTAAAATAAAAAATAAATATAAAACAACATCTGAACCAATCACTTGTCAGATCAGGTGACAGCCAGGCATTTCCCATCATGCTCTGGGTCCAAAAACTGCGGGATGAAGTCGGACACAAGAGTACCCAGCATGCATTGTGAGGTAATTGAATCTGTGCAGGTCTGTGTCGTATCCAACGAGCCTATTGACTGGTGATGACATCACTCACTCAGCTGTCGTCATGGTGACCAGTTGACGATAAAGAACAATGATGATGATGCTGTTAAATGATGAAGCTCTTCTGACACGTCAACATCATCAAATCATTTATGTCACTGATGATTGTTAAGTCAAATAAAAATAATAAAATCCAAAGATGTGACATGACAGCGTTCTTTTATATTTCACACTGACAGGAAGTCAAATCTAAACTTAAACTCAGAGAAGAAACTCGATGTCATTACTGTTTATAGACTGTAATCAATCAGACTAATCAGATCAATGATCAAACATTTACATACAAACTGTTTCAGACCAAACTTTATTTAGACCAATATAAAAAAACAAATATTCACTTTATAAAACAACAATCAGTCCCTTCAAAATAAAACTGATCAATAATCAGGGATCAAGGATCAATAACCAATAATCAATGATGGATAACTGATGAACAGAGAAGAAGAAACACTGACAGTTTGTTCTGATTGGCTCAAACATCCTGAAAACTTTATTCATACAAAACATTTTAACAAAAGAAACATTATTCATTCAGAGCTCGTTAACATGAATCCAGTGTCAATAAAATTTAAACGTGATCATATGACCTGAAGCAGAAAGTGTTCAAAGGAACAGTCCACCATTTTATTTCATAAACGCTGATTCTGACTGTCGTTGGCCCTGCCCCCTTCCACTGATTCATCTGAAACTACGTCAACGATTGGACGATCAGTTATTGATCACATTTTAATGATCAACTGATCAGTTCAGTCATTGATTAACTCCTCCTGTAAACGGAGCAGAAACCTGAGCATGATGATGATGATGATGACGATGATTTTAATGACAATGATGGTGATGATGAAGGAGGCACTGGACATTGAGCAGGTCAAAGGTCACTCTGGTCTGATGAACAGTAGAAAAGGCAATTTGGTGTAGAAGCTCGTTGGTCTCATGACCTGTGACATAATCAACAGAACGTTCTCAAAGGTCCAACACAACGTCACAAGGTTAGCCAAAGGCGGCTGAAGGCAGACACAGAGAAAGAAGAAGAAGAAGAAGAAGAAGAGGAAGGCACGTCTGATGGACGGAACTTGGTCCAGTAACACCTTGCAGAGGCCACGCCCCCGGTTTCAGGGGACTGCACCCCCGTAATCGTCGTTTCAGTAGCTGAATTTGACCTTCTCGATGTCGGAGATCAGCGTCCGGGCCAGGTAGATCCCCACCATCTGTTCACAAGTAAACACATGGGTCAGGTTCACAACAAACCACCACAGACCAGAACAGACCACTACAGGCCTGTACAGAGCACTACAGACCGGACCAGTACAGACTAGTACACTCCACCACAGACCAGTACAGACCACTACAGGCCTGTACAGAGCACTACAGACCAGACCAGACCAGACCACTACAGACCAGCACAGAGTGGTACAGACCACTACAGACTAGTACACACCACCACAGACCAGTACAGACCAGTACAGAGTGGTACAGACCAGTGCAGACCACTACAGACCACTAGAGATTGGTACAGACTAGGGCTGGACAATTATGGCAAAAATAATAATCACGATTATTTTAATATTGAAGTCACGATTAATAAACACGATTATTTATTGATTTCAAAACTTGAGTATTTATGGAACCACCAAAACTCAACTTTAAATATAACTTAAAGCCATAGTTGGTAATCCTGTTCAAACACTTCTTGTTATACTGGGTGAAATGGTCCTTCATCCTGAGAGGAGTCAATACATAATGTGTTCAGAAAAAGGAATGAAAAAAATCAGACCTCTGTGGCAGCTGCAGGCCTGTAAAAACTCTGACCAATCCCTGCCATTTGGTGCGAATGGAAAGAACCAATCAGATGCCTTCATGTCTCATCCTGCCCAAGCCCCCCTCTGTCCCTCCCTCCCTCCTTCCTGCATGCACTCATCACGTGTCACCATTGCCGGAAATATTCAGCACACTCCTCAGCAGAAATACTGAGTTAGCAGGAGTTTGCTGCACAATGGCAGAGAAAATGCAGCCAAAAGTACCACTTCCAGCGTTACTTTTAACGGCTCGCCCCGCTAAACAGGCTGAGAAAAGAAAGTCGGAGGCAGAAAAGGCTGCGACGAAAAAGGCTTTGGATAAAGTGAGAGGACA